GAAATAAAAGATATCCCTCTTTAGGATTTAAATGTTAGTTTATTGACAAATCAAGTCTATGACGTCACACAATATAGATCAAAGAACACTGCGAGGTCAAAGGTCAATCTTGCCGATCGACGAACAAGGAAACTCAAAAACTATTATTCCGATTGTAGCTAAACTCTCGTGGAGGTAAAAGTAAGCACTTCTAAGTTCGGTTGATATAGATTACCAACAGATTACGCACACGGTGGTTGCCGAAGGATTGTTTATATTCGATAAATTCAAAGAGTTGAGAAAACTTGATGTTTTGCAATGTGTTTCCGGTTGTACCGGGTTCGTTGTACCTCCCGAATCAGAAGAGTTCTCTACTCGATTAACTTGATCGCGTATTAAAGAAATACATATATATATATGACTATATAGCATGAATGTTACCAGTTTTTGCATGAACAACATACATGGAATGCAGTTTGTAAAAAATGAATGAGCAGAATTTGTTGAAAAAAGTACAAAGAAAGTAACATTGCATGTTAAATTTATACATTGTCTTTCTTTCCAATAATACTAAAAGTGTATTCATGTAATGAAGAAACATCTAAGTACCTATAACATATGAAAATGATTTCTGTTTAGTATAGATATAAGAAAAACTAGAGCCACACGTGGCACAGAGTGGGACTTTGCAAAAGACTCTGAAAAAACCAACCTTCGACGATAATTAGGTCAAGTGCAAGAACAGTCTAAAGTTGAGAAAGTTTCATTATTTAGAAGATTCCAATACCGGAAGTAGATGCCAGGCCTCACATATGAAAGTATCAGCAGATAGCCAAGGTCAATGACCTTTGATCTTGTAAATGAGAAGGTCTAAAAAGGTCAAGATCAAGAGATATAAGTCATCAAAATGGCAAATTACACACGGCTATAAAACCGGAAGTTAACATAGGACAGGAAATATAAAAGTATAAATAGATAGCCAATGCCAATGACATTTAATCCTACAAAGGTCAACGTCAACAAAGGTCAAGGTCAAAAATTGAAAATTTTGAATTTCCAAAACCTGTTCCTTTTTTAGAACTATGAAGCTGAAACAACTGACCTTCTAAGACAAAGTGCCTCAAAACATGAAGTAATTGTTTTCAAAGTTCCTTTTTTAACAAACGTATTCTTAGCGAGTTATGCCTCTGGCCAAAAATGTCAATAATGAGTAATTTAATCCGGATGTGCCACGCCCATTTCATTTATTTGATATAAGTTAATTGATATTTAAAATTTTATGTCGTGTACCAAATTTCAAGCTTCTACATCATACAGGTCAAAAGATATAGGTCAACAAAAGTCAAAAAAATATCCAAATTTTAAAACCCATTCCTTTTTTCGAGCTATAAAGCTGAAACAACTGAGCTGTCAACACAAACTGGTCAAAAAGATGAGGGAATTGTGTGCAAAGTCCCTTTTTGAACAAACGTATCCGTTGCGATTTATGCCCCGGGCCCTAAATGTAAACAATTAGTTATTCAACCCGGATGTGCCACGCCAACATTAATTTTTCTGTCATAGGTGATTTCATATTCAAAGTGTCTAGTTGTATTCCAAATTTCAAGGTTCTACATCAAATAGGTCATAAGATATACATACACCAAGC